AGGTGATCAAAGAACAAAGCGATTCTTTGCTCGGACCTCTTGGACATGGTGGGCAAACTACTCAAGATTGCAAAGGGTGCGTTACTAAGACATAACGCATGGACTCATACATGTAAACATAGGCATTTCGACTTTTGTCAGTCTCCCAGCCATTGTGCAAGCTGAATTCGACCAGTTTTTGTTCTGCATTTGAACTGCAGAAATGTGATGTTAATCCGAATCCCGGATGGGAGCGCGGCGTACTCAGATGTATCCAAGGTGAACAAATGACAAAACCAATGTACGTCACGCGTTTCAGGAAGCATAGAGCTGCATCACACAGAGACACACAGAGACACACAAAGACACACAGAGACACACAGAGACACAGAGACACACAGAGACACACAGAGACACACAGAGACACACAGAGACACACACGCACACGCACAGGCACAGGCACACGCACACACACATACACGCACACACACACACACAAGTTGCACGAGTAACAGACAAGTTCGAAGTCCAAGATTCTCGAACATGATGTTGCCAAACTTCACATCCACTCGTTCCATCTCCGCAGGATCCTTGAACATTTTTGACTGCATTCCCAGCTGTACGGCTCGAGTCACTTGCACATACAGAGCATAGAATAGACTGTTTGGCTCTCTGCGCGATATGCCGTCTCGCGCCAAATTTGTCAGCCGCTCAATAACGCCTTCCACATTTGAGGCGAGGTCGGGAATCAGCGGGGCTGCCATTGGGTTGCCAAATGTGAAACTTTTGCTTACATTGTCTAAATCACACATTCAAGCTGGCAGCATTTCATGCAGGTGACATATATACAGTTCATGTTTGGTGCTTGTTTCTGCAGGCTGCTGCGCGTCTGCAAGCAGAAAGGACTGGTGCATCTGCATTCGTCGTCTGAAAGTAGGTTGGACTTGCATTGTGCACGAAGACTTTGAAGTGGAAGGAAGATGGGTGTGAAGAAAAAAAGGACACCATTTAGGTGGGGATTTATGTCCACCAATCACTTTGGAGATGGATTCGTATCAAATTTCATGGCCACAGGTCAGACATTGTCTTGAGCCACCGACAACATAGACATGCGCCTCAAATGAGCCGGACATATGGAACGATTCACTCATTGGCAAGCAAAGCAGAACAAGAGGCCGCTCTTGTACACAGGGAACAGTGGGCAGCTTTGCAAGATTTCCCCCCTTCCAACTCTGCGATGGATTCAAATATCCATTGACAACCTGCATAGCAGTCCTTGCAAACTTTACATTTAATGAAGCAAAGGAAACCAACAAAAAACATATTTCCTAGTGATCATTAGATTCCCTTTACAACCAACAAGGAGGAAACAAAACCTCAAGCAAATGGAAGACACCTTGCCCTCATTGCCCGTGAATGCCACTGGCTTTTGGCGCGTTCACTCGCCTTGGGCGCCGAGATTTGCGCGGATAGTGACACGGCATCGGACACGCAACCTGTGCCGGGTATGGAATGTTGAATAATGTTGACCCAGGATTTGTTAAACCTGTCCCATTATTGAGGTGTTCCCTCCAAAAGGGGTCTGAATCCCCTCTAAAAGGGGACACCCCCCGATCAAGATCAACCAGGGGTTCACATTAATCCGGGGTTCACATTCGGTCTGGAGCATCTTTTCACCAGTGCCCATCCCCGTTTTGCTGGCTCGAGAAATTAGAAAGGTACCTGCTTGGCATCCAGATGACCCTGCCCCAAAAAGCGTGCACCATTCTGAAGCTGAGCTGGGGAAGATGATTGCTCAAATTTAGCTAGGTCCTCCAGCTTTGGAGGTTAGAATAACAGGGATCCGGATGCATGAAAAACACCTGAACATTGCCTTGTAAATGGTGGCGTCCCTTCATTTTGGTGGAAAAAGCCATGTTTCAAATGGGCAACATGTATCTTTTAAGGAGCCCTGAATAAGGGTACCCGATTTTTTTCCTGTAGTCTATTTTAGTAGGGGAGCCCTCCCTCAACAAAGGTGAGAGAAGGGCACTACTGGGGGACCTAGCTATGCTTCTCTGATGCGCTGTGCATAGGCCTCGGTCATGGCAGCTGCGATCGCTTAAACCTTGGACCCTGGGCACCATTGGTTGCATCTCACGCCCCGCAATCTGCCGCTCTTCAGCAGAGGAACTCGAGCAAGCGATGCTGAGACAGGAAAGCGATGTCAAGGGTTGCGTCATGAAGTCGCCAGTGTAACGCTGAGTGTTTGCTGTTTGAAGAATTGTAAGTGCAACGGACTGATTCATGCTTTTCCGGACTCTCTCAGGCAGCTTGGGAGGAAGCATCGCCAACGGAAAGGGACGGCAAACATCGAACCGGCCGCTTTCATGCTAGTCACTAGTGTGGCGGCCAAAGTCTGCGGGAGCCATTTCGAGACTTTCACACGATGATACACACACACACAGAACAGTCAAAAGCACTGGGATGCTGTCAGCGTTTGCAAACTAGCAAACACACGCTGACTAAGAACACTTTGGCAGAAATAAGTTCTCAACAGCAGGATTCATCACGCTCCCGCATAGCCCGAGCTGCGAGCTGGGGCTTTGCCGCTCAGAGCCTTGCAGCGTCGCAGCATGCTTCAGTGACCCTTCGGTAAACATCACGTCTGTGGGGATCTGGGATGTTCCACCATTTGACTTCATATGTTGATGCATCAGTCACGCGATTTGGCTCTCTTAGTCCAAAGGCTCCGATTCTGACCGCCACGAAAAAATCTGACCCTGCGGGGGTTTAGGGTTGACAGGCTTGAAACATGGGCAAAACAATATAAGTATACACGTCTGCAACATGGCAATGCTGCAATTGTCCTGAAGAAGTGTCATTCTCGGCTGAGAGACATTGGACGTATTGGACGTATTGGACATGGTCAGTCAAAGGAAAACATCCCACAATGGCAGCCTCCGATTGTATTGGTCACGCATGGTAAGGAACACGGCCCATGCAAACTCACTTGCTCACCAGCCCACTGACGCCCACTTTGGCAGATCTTTGGTGCATCTTGCGGCCGCTCGTTCTTCACTTGAGGAAACTCACAAACAGCCCGGAAAACATCTGCTTGACACCACAAACGCGAAATCCCAGAGAACAAACAAATAATATGGAGTTTCGGTGCCCCTGAAAAACACTGACACCTGGAGTCTGAAGGGAAGACATAGGGAAGCTTCCTTCAGCCTCCAAAGCACGCGCCTTTTCGCCGCCGGTCACTGGATGGCCTCACGGCGTGGCGATAGAAGCAGCGAAGGACAATTCGAAGGGCATGCGCATCGCCAAATCCCAAGTTGCCCAGTGAGAACACTCGTTTCATACTGTGGATGGACGAAATCCACCTAAGAAACTCTAGAATGATATGACCCCCGGTAAATCCTGACAAACAATGGTTTCCCATGGTGTCTTGGGTGGTGCGAAATGGGTTTTGTCTATCCACAGTAGGTGCCCTTTTGGTTGAGAACCGGTCCTTAAAAAGGGAAAACTGGCTTGCTGGGTCTGAATTGCTGGGCTGCCCAGTGAGCCCGGGTAACATGGGAACCCTTTTTGGGGTAGGCCGTTTTGCGGGAAGACCACACCGAACAAAGGGGAAAACGTTTGCCGCTCAACTGGGAATCCAGATGCGTGCTAATTTCTGAGGGCGCCCTTCTTGGGTAGTGCTCCTGATGAACCAAAGGGAACACCACAATTTTGGGCCTAACTGTAAAACACAAGCACCCCGTCATTGGTGCTTTGGATAATTGAACCACTTGCTTTCTATTGGTGAATAACCCAAAATCACCCATATGGGTGTATCTTCTTTAGACCCCCCAAAACGGTCCAGTCGGGTTTTTCAGTCAAACCAAAAAACAGTGGGAGGCGCCCCCCAAAAAACAAGACGCATCGGGTTGATCAAAAGGTCTTTTACATAGGATGACCATGGCGGAAAACCCGCTGACTTTTTTTTGTATTTCTCACATGGGGAAGTTTGCCATGGTCATTTGGGGCCGAACGGAATATCTAGGTCCTCCAGTAGAGAGGTGAAATAAGGGTACCCTCTTTCTGTAGTCTGTTTTAGTAGGGGAACCGAACGGAATATCTAGAATCCTCCCCCAAAAAAGGGTAAAAGGGCACTACTGGGGGGCCTAGATATTGATCAACCCGCATACCTCCTTCACCCGGACACCCTTGCGCCTCCGCAAAGCGAGGGCTGGGACTGCGACCGGTCTGGGCGTAAGACCGGAGGTGAAATCGCGGCGGGGCGTAAAAGCGGGGGTGTCGGCTGTTGGGGCGGGACCCCGTTTTAGAATGGGCAACCAAAAGAGCATGACCCATTTAGGATGTGACTGTGGACAAACACAGATTCACACCAATAAGACTTCTTACACTCATAGGTGTTTTACCAGTTTCTTTTTGTTGACTGTCGTGGAGGGGGGACCCCTATTTGAGACAAACCCAAATAGTATTTGGGGGAACCCGTTTTTGAGAACCCAAACAATCCGACCCTGTTCTCAGAAGGCAGCTAATGGAAGCATGCAACCTGGAATCCAAAAGATATGCGGAACTCCAGCGTGCAGAACTTAACCCTAAGAGCTTCAAAGGTGTGCCTCCGTGCGACGGGTGAAATGCATGTCCACTTGTCTTTTGCAGGGCTCACTTTGTTTCTGAGGGTTTTTGTATTACACCCTGGGATTGCACCCTTGGGAAATGACCCACAATGGTTCAAAATAGCACGGTTTTATGCGGACATGTGCCTAAATGGGGTCAATAAGTAGTGGGTGTATTCCCCGGGTGCAATGCAAAATCCCGTAGATTGTTGTTTCCCGCAGGGACTTCCAAGAGGAGCGCTTGGAGAACCGCGCTTATCTAGGCTCCCTCCCCGGCGCGCTTCGAACTCGCCTGGTGCTGCAGCTTCCAGAGGGCCAGCAGGTCTCCCTGGCGAAGGGTATGAGCTATGCCCATGCCGCTTGAGGTCTGCTAAAACGCTTGAAATTCAAGTTGGATCTGGGAGCATGATCAAAAACTGCAAGGACAATCCGAATTCAACCCTTTCCGGTTGGGAAGAAGACGGTTCTTGCTTGTAGGAGAACCAACCAAAGTAACTAAAGTACACAAAGGGAATAGGCGATTCTCTGGGCAACAAAAATAGATAGACCGAAAACTGCTAGACTTGTCTTTGGGGGGAGGGTCGTCTCAGCATACGTTCAAACCGGCCAGCGAGAATCCAAATGGTGATGCTCCGTCCCAACCCAAACCTTCAGCCCCGGCCAACAGAAAACCTCCCGTCCGCGATTACTTTTTTCAACCTGTCCCCGCTCCGACTTCTGGCTGGATAATTCCCAACTCGCAACAAACAGATTGCAGACCAAAGCAACCCGTTGCTTAAACACGCCAAGCCGCAATCAGCCCTTGAAAAGGGTGGTTTGGACGGTTTGGTGGTGTTCCGGGGTTGGTTTCCGGTTCAAATCTGAATCCACACCTCCAACCCACTCAGGGATACCTGAGCTGCCAAAAAGGAAGCCTGACGCCCGCTTTTTGGCGCGCGCTACTCACTGCCAGAGTCGAATGGCTTCACAACCACAACCTCAGCGTGCGCCATTTCTCACATTGCAGTTTTCCAGACGGTGTCCCTTGAAGCCCAGCTAAAACGGGACTCCAAAAAGATCTGAAAGTCACAAACCCGCATTCGAAAGACTTGAAATCCAGGGAAATGCCAGACAGAGGCAGCCACTGAAGGCCAAGCAGCATTGCAAGGTGCATTCCGGACAATATACTCTGCCACGTCCTGAGGTTGGACTGAATGAGATTCCATCCATGTGTCACACTCTGCTCAGTCGAGACATTGGAATTCGCCGGGTTTGCCAGACGCTGACTCGAATAAACTCTGGCAATCCTAGCAACGTGAGCAGTGTCCAGGAATGATATTGATTACATCCTTGTTTCGGCTGAACATCGGCCATGTGGTCGTGCGCGTTTGTCAGTTCTTTCCTTTCCAGTTTGTTTTCTTTTGGGGGCGTTTCTCGTGTTTCGTTTCTCTTAAAGGCAATCCAAAGGGAAACCGCTCATCGAATCAAAACCGCCGCTTTCTGCAAACGAGTGGCGTACTGCTTGTGCGGATCAACCAGCTTGGTCCTGGAGAGCTGCGGATGTCACAAGGAATCTCTTTTGGGCGGCCCGTTTCTGGGGTTCCATGTGGTTGTCCGTGATACATGATTGCTAGTAAAAAAACACTAAGGATTTGATATTCCCGCATGGAAAAAGTGACCCATGCTCAAACCTGGGGGCCAGGGATCTTGATCAACCCCCCTGGTTCTTTGCAGCAGAGCCTTCTCCAGTACAGCTGTATGTGTTTGCGGCAAGAAAAAAAGGTCCGAGCAAAAAGTCAACTCTGCGAGTCTGCGACCATCCAACGATGAGCATCAACCTATGCCTGGAGTCTCCATGACCCTTCAAAATGCTTGGTCATGACCCCTTTTTTTGGGGTAGTGACCAACCATTTTTATGGAGACTGCAGGTGCCCAACAAATCTGATCCCTTGGGCTCAGTGCCCAGTGCCAACCGGTCCGATGCCGACGCTCGTTGTACCCCACATAGATCGTGTTGGGCCGGGGTATGCTGCGATCGCCCACGCCTGCAGTCGGCAGTTGTCGCATGCTGCATGAGCGCAAACTCACCTAACGCAATGAACACCAGTACATCTGTAGTCTGTATAATGTACGCACAATGTGTGCCTATGCGTGTATATATATATATATATGACATAACGCTGCCACCCCATGATCTACCTTCCCTTCCCCTACTTGAAGCAACACTGCCAAAAAGCCAGATATACACATCTATGTTCCTACATCCATGCGCTCGACCTGTGCCTGTCAATCACTTCTGTGGAGTGAATGCTCCCTTTGAGCGCCTGCGATGGCATCTCCCACCAGCTGCTTGTGGGGCTCAGCCGTCTCTGCACCTGTGAAGACCTTGAAGAAGACGCCCTCCTGGTAGGCGCGGGAAAAGGCATTTGGGGCTGAGGTTAGAAGCTTGGAATACCAAATCCAAGCCTAGGAAAAGGCAGTTGCAAGGAGCGGCTCCAAGGAAGCGTGGGGTTTCCACCAAATCCAAACCACGAGGGAAAACTGAGAGGTTCTTGGAACAGCTGAGCCCGTGGCAAGGGGTGAAGGGTTCTGAGAACTGGCCCCGGAGGGATGTGAAGCGGAGTCTCCCCCCGCCAAACAACATAAAATAACACCTTCAAATTTGTGGGTTTCCTGCTTTTCGCACCAACAAATAACAATCAAAAGTCAAATGTTGTTGTTTTTCGTTGTTATTTTCTTGTTTCGCAGCGCTCAAGGTTCCAAGGAGGAGTCTCTGCTTATGGCCTCCAGCCCGCAACTTCGAAAAGAATTGCCCAGCCATTGGTCCATTCGGTCTATGAGTGAGGAATGGCTCAACTGCAGCGGAAACCTTGGAATGTGGCGCAAACCTCAGTCTTCATCACGACTCCAAGTCTATCTGCAATACCACATCCTTTCGGGGCGCATCTGTGCGTATGTTCAGGAGAGCTTGAAGTCAAGCGTTTACCTTTCAGCAAGGCTGCCACTTCAGCTACTAAATAAAGCTTCCGACGGGACAAAGCCCAAAAGGGTATTGCCATCAACATTTGGCAGTGTCCCTTTTTTGGGACCCCCCCCCTCCCCCAAAAAAAAGGCTGATGTCTGTTTAAAACCAACCCAAAAAGGGGTAACACCCCAAACAAAGACGAGGCAGCCACTTGCCCCCGCCCCTCTCTCTAAACGCTTCCGTGTCCTTTCGGTGCAGCGCAGCAACTCGCTGACTGGACTCCATGACCCGCGTGAGGGCGCTGTCCATGATGACCTGCGCTCGTCTCAGCTGTGCCAATCATGGACTCTTGGCTTATCATCTTAAAGTTGTTGCAGACCCCCAGTAAAAATGAACAGAACCAAAAAACCAACAAACTAAAAAACATGCCAAGAACAGTGAAGTTATAGCAGTTATGGGTACGAGTCAAAATTCAACCACCAGGAATTGGACCGCAGACTTTTGGTCGATGTTTCCATTTCCCAGGGCTCTACTTTACCTATGTTTGACCCAGACCCACTTGGGTGTGGCTCAAAATCGGCTAGGGTTACGCAGGTTTTGGTCTCTGCTTCTATTTGCCAAGTTGGCATTACGTCTTTTTGAGCCCACATGGTAAGGGTTCATGGCCTAGCCCCAGCGGGCGGAGCTACATACACCTGAAATGGCCCGTGTGATCGCTCACTTGAAGCTCCGCGTCCTGACCTTTCCTGCCATGTCAAGGCACGCTTCAAAAGCGGAAAGGGCAAAATTGGGGTCTGCTCCTTTTTTGACTTGATACGTCCCCCGGTTTTGAAGGACAACAAGAACGCCAAAAAAGGAACGGCAACCCATTTTGGGGCACTCGCCATGGTTCAAGTCCTTCTCTCCCACTTGGGCCCCCGCATTCAAATTGTCATCGCACACCGAGGAGAAGTGCGCTTCATAGACGGAGCCTCCTATCTCCAGGAAAGGGTTCACCGGATAGTGGATTGCGACCTCGCGATCCAACCGGATCCGCACCCAGAATCAAAGGACGCACTCCCTAAAACTTGGTTCGAAGCTTTTAAAGGGGGTGGTCTGCATGTCGGCTCTGAATCAGAACTATGCCGCTTTTTTGCTTGCGAAGGTCTGAGACTGACTCCCGACGCGGCTCAGCTTTCTGCTCTCTATGGGCTCTGTGTAGGGGTTGGATGTCCCACCAGCAACGGCACGCGGATGAAGCTTTGGCGCCGAAGTTGTCAAGTTTCGGAAAGGCGTGGGCTTGGATTCTCGCAAGGCGCGGGCCTTTTCTTTCTTCTTCTTGCTCAACACAAAACAAATCACCAGGGAACACCTCGTCATTGCGTTCTTTGGAGGGAGCCGGCGAAGCAAGGCGGCGTAAGCGGGTTAGCTGTAGTCATTGGCCAGCTGAAAACCCTCCATTGGGGCATCGGCGCATTGGCCGGGTTCCGATCCGATCGATTGTCCACCAAGCCCTTAAAACTCATAGCCATAGGTGGTTCCTCTTCGGGTGAGGGGTTGTAAGGGCCAATGGACGCTGACAAGCAGGAGGATGTTGGAAGACTACTTTTCTTTTGGGGACCCCCTGTCCACTTCCATGATTCGACAAAAGGATACAAAGGGAAACCATCTTGGTTGAACCAAAACGCAAATCCAGCTGCCGTTCAGGGACCCGTTCAACGGGTTCTTTATCGGATCGCTTGCGCCAAAGGACAATCATGCGTGCAGCAGCCCAAAGGAGTCCATTCGCCGGAATCCGTTTAGGGTTACTCAACAGTTGACTGGACTGAACACCAAAGCTATTCATCTTATACTACTACCACGCCAATTAGGAAAGCTGAAGCCGCTACCTCCCAATACTTCATATCCCACATCCGGAGACAACAAAAAACATATTGTCTGTTCCAGTTTCCTACTTGCTTTCAGTTTAAGAGTTGGAACCCCCTCAAAAGTAGTTGGCGGACATAACTAGAGTTGGTGGGAACCACCCCACCCATCCACCCACTATTCACGGCGTCCACCAAAGGGTCCCGTTTTCGTCCGTGTCTCTGTCCCTCAGAGGCCAAGAAGCCACGGAGTCTCCCGGCTGGGCTTGCGAGAAAGCGCGCTTCAGTGCATCAGCAGACGCTTTCCTGGGACGCTCTGCTCCGACCAAAATGGGGAACAAAATGGGTTGAACCATGTCTGACTTTTGTTCATGGGTAAATATGGGTAAGATTGACAACATGGGTAACAAAATGGGTTGGTGAACCATGTCTGACTTTTAGCAATGGGTATATATATATATATATGTATATGGGTAATACTCTAATGTAAGCCATACACTTAAAACCCAAATTCCGCTTCTTTGGCCGATTGGGTCATGG